GGTGTGTATTGAATCGACCTCCATCCTCTAGGTCGTCCTTCGCCCCTATCAGCTCGCGGTGACCCTCTTCTTTCTCCTGTCGTCTGGCTCTTCTTCTCTTTTTTGTCGTCTCGTCCATCAGTTTGGGACATTTTCACGCTTTGCAAGTAGTCAGCTTCTGCTTCCTCGACATTCATATACTTGGCACACCTCCCCAAAACGTCGTCAAAGCTCCTACCAGGCCGCTTGGCCAAAGAGTTCTTACATAACCCTGGCAACAGTCCTCTCTGTTGCTAATGGGCACTCGACACACGCTTTTGTAAACCTCACCACATACTCTCGCAGCGACTCGCCCTTCTTCTGCTGCATGCTAATCAACGAGAGGTAAGACTTCTCTTGCACCCTCACACTTGCAAATTGGTTAAGAAAGCTCGAGCTGAATCCATCGAAGTCTCTAATCGACCCAGCTGGCAGTTGGTGGAACCAATCCTGGGCTGACCCTGTCAGAGTCGTCAAGAAAGCGCGACATTGCACCGGATCACTGTAGCGGTGGAGCACCGCCATGTTCTCAAAACTCCTCAGATGTCGAGACGGGTCAGTGGAGACATCGTACCATATGTTCAACTCCCTAAAGCCTTTGGGTAAGTCGGCTCTCAGGATTTGCTGCGAGAATAGATGTTCCTTTGCTCCTCTGCCCTTCCTCCCCCCGACTTTAGCCTGAAGGTCGCGAACCTGGGCCAGCAGCTGTTCCAACGTCTCGTCCCTCGCGTGTGGGTTGATAGTTCGAATGGTGGATTCTTCCTCGTCCGCCCTTCTGTTCTGCTGCACATTCGACTGGGCTTGCTGCTTGACGTGCAATTGCTGCTCGACGTGCGCCACATGCTTCATCTGGGCGGCCACAGCTTCAGCGATCATCTTTTGCATTTCGCTTCTCGTCATTGTCAATGTCTGTTCCTCGACGCGGGGTTGTGTCTGCCCCGGCATCTCTTGTATCTGTTTGCCCTCACGTCGAGACATCTCCGTTGGTTCCTTCTCTCCATCTGGGTCAGGGTTTTCACTTGTTCCTGCCTGCGTCAACACTTGCATCTTCACTCCGGCCGGAGTGACAGGAGTTTCTCCTCCCAACATCAGTCCTGGTGGTGGAGGTCCTCCGAATAGTGGCATCCCCATCATCTGCATCACTGGGTGTTTGGGGGTGGAAAGTGATGGTGGCCTCTTGTCCATCCACGTTCCCCTGAACTCCTCATTCAGGTTCCTCTGCAAACCTTCCTTCTCCACCATCAACAAACAGATCGGAGCTAGGTGTGAAGCTCTTACTTTCTTCAAGAACTCCCCACAGACGGCGCCAATATGATGGATCTACTTCCAGATCTAGAGTAAACCAGTGGATTTGAGCTCAGATCTGCTTGAACCGCCTCTGAATCGTTAATAGACCGCGAGATACCTACAAAAACTCAACGCCGGAGGTGTTTCCGGCGTAGAGCCTCCGACGCTCAAGTCAGTATGAGAGTGATGAAGAGATGCTGCGCAGCAGCTATGGGGGAGAGTGGGAATGAATGAGAGTTAGGGTTTTAGGGTTACCTAATCTCCTTTATATAGGAGTGAATACTTACTTGAAGTACCCAGAATGCCAAGTCGGTGGACCTAAAAGATCCAAAATGCCCCGGTCGATTCGTCTCCCCTCCCCGCTGAGTCATCTCAAGATTCCTTCTTATCCTTTGGAGTATGTAGAGCCTTGAATATGCCACAAGTGTAGGGAGTCGTGGGTGTACTTCACATCTCGAGGTATGAAAGGTCAACACCGAGTACGGACGAGTCGACTCGGGGTCCCCTGATTTATCGGAGGCTATGTTCTTGTTGATTCTTCGAGTAGAGGTCGGGTATCAGGAAGTCGACTTAAGAAAATCGACCTCAAGGAGTCGACTTATTGGAAGTCGACCTATGGGAGTCGACTTTGTAGGAGGCCTTCCATTTCTTGTGACCATTTGATGAGGAGTCGACTTGGCGTAAGTCGACTTAAGCATGCCAACAGGCTTATGTCGTTGTCTGAACGGCCTGGGCTACTATCCGGTCGAGTAAAGAGCCTTTGGGCCGGTATATCCTTATATGACTATATCACCTATGATCTTGTTGTTCCAACCTCTCCAAACGATCGGTAGTGCCCTCGAGAACATTTTCAAGTCTTGCAAAATGTTGCTGCATAGCTTGAATGGTGAAATCATTCCCGCATTGGCTGAATTATCCGCCATTACTCAAATCTCACAAGTCACTCGTGTATCACTCAATATAGCCCTCACAACACCCGTGTTTCACTCATAGGCTTTTACCTTTCATCTAATGAGCTCACACACTCTTGCCTTTTACCACTCCGAATTCTCTTTCGTAGGCTCAATTAACATAAAACCTATCAAGATCAATTTCGTAGAACAATATAAGGTCTGTTTTTTTTTTTTTTTTTGTTTGTTTGTTTGTTTTTTTTTTTATTTTTTTTTCTTTTTCTTTTCTTTTTTTTTTTAATACAAAACAATGTAAAAAAGATAGAAATCAGATCAATACCAGATGGCCTTTTTAAAGGCTACAAATGGTGCTAATGAGTTAATCCCATTTTTGGGACTCATTAAGCACTAAAAACATAGTTTTGACCACATAATGAATCCTACATGAGTTTTGAATAACTTTTTGACTTCTAAGATAACTAAAGAGCCATTTTGGTCTCAAAAATGCTGAAAATGGACAAAGTAATGGACACTTTAATTGGACTTCACTCAATAGACGAAATTAAGTCTTCAATCCATAGATTAGTCTTTATGCGAACAATCTGGCCCATCAACTTGAAGAATATTCACCAATTTGCCTTCAGTCGGGATTCGGTCCATCTTCTTTTGACATTCAGCAATAAGAACACTCATGGCTTCCTTCATTTTCTTAGCTCTTGCCCTCGTGATCGGTCCCCCGTTTATCTTCAACGGATCTTCTTTACTTTGAACAGACAGATTCGGATGGTCCCCACCAATTATACAGAATTAAAATTTTCTCATTAATATTATGCACAAATATATAATTTTTTTATTTTAGATTTTTTAAATAATAACACTGCTTTATTATAATAATACATATTAATCGATAGATGAGTAATGGTAATATATTCATATAATATCTTGGTAAAAATTAATTAGTTTTCAACATATGTAGGCATATCATGATTCTCGTGATATTCTTAATTAATTTGTAAGTAATCATATGATCAAAATTAAATCATGTTGTTCAAGTGGTATCCCATTCGACGGGAAATAAAATTGCAACATCCCACCTATTTACTATTGTACTTATGAAAATCATAGTAAGATTTTTCTTATTATTTCGAAAACTCTTACTTTATTTTTAGAAAACTCTTTATCTTTCTCGCGGGATGTTACCTTACTTACTTTTCTCTTTCGTTACTTAGACAAATAAACAACATGCATGCAACCAAACCAAGTCCACTCCCAGGATAAGCACAATGGAAAATACTGAAATTAAACATGCATAGTCATATGTCTCATAATCTCAAAACATGTCTGGTAAAGCGAAAGCTAACGACCTAGGTCGAATACATGTTCAAACAACTTAGTTCACAAAACATGTTCATAAATCATATGGCATCATAATTTTTCTCAAAATGACATCCACCTTTAGACCACCACCACCAAGCTCGCTCACGCGCCACGCTGGACTCCATCACCTAAAAAAATAGATAGTGGGGGCGTGAACATAAAGTCCACGTGCTCCGCAAAAACCAGCACTGAATACACATTAACCATAATAACATATCATGAAATAAGCATATATATATCTTACTGATCTGATGCTGATGCAACTACTAACTTTCGGACTTTTTCGATCAATCATGTGCACATTCCGGTGAAACACTAATGGCCTTGGCTGCCACCAAAACCTGGATGGGTTACCTTGGCCGTGAACCCAAGCGATAAGTAGCTGCAAGGACCTAGTTGTAGGTCATTGCCCTTGGGAAAAACTCATATACACATACCTCAGACATGGTAATCGATTATAGAAAATGTTGCACCCAGTACGGGGTCCCCACCTGTTAGGTTGATAATGCAAGTGCTGGAGTGCTTGTAGCTGGCAGAGGTTTGACTCTCCTCAAGCTACAAAATTTAAGCAAATATTGTTTCTAAGTCTTTTGCTTAATTTACAATTCTTTGTTCTTCATCTTCTTCAGATTTATTAATTATCTTAACTAATAAATTTTATCTTCTCTTGACTTATCTGTCTGCTTGTTTGACTTAAATTCACTTATATCTTATTTTCATAACTTAGCTTACTAGTGGCTTGCCGAACATAAATTAAGTTGCTAAGTTAATTATTTTCTACCTTGAAGTTGTCTAGGGTTCTCGGATAATTTTTCTAAGTCCGAAAATATGCTTTCTAACTTATACCGGATTAACTTGGCTAGGAAAAATGCTGAAGTTCCGGCTCACGCTCGAACCAAAAATTCTGAACCGAAAAATGTTGAACCACCCGGGCTTGCCCGAACCGGTTCGGCTGGACTAGCGTGTCACTAGTGAACTAGCCGGTGGTTTGGTGTAGCCCAGCTCGGTCACGCGAGGTCCGGCTGGACGCGACCTTACCGGTACACTTGGGTCCTAGCCGCGTTGGCGCGCGGTAGACACGCTCAGGGCTCGTTTCTGAGGGTTGGCAGGTTGTAGATGGTAATATGGGGCAGTGAATCATTACCTTGATTGGATGTTGGTCATTTGGAGGGAGTTCTATAATTTATTTGATATTGTCCGGTTGTATTCAATTATACGGGATAATTATGGTGAGTGTGCTGTGATGCTTTCATTACAGTTGACTAGCATACGGGATATTGTCCAGTAGATCGTGTTCCACGAAGCTGAACATGCGATTCCATAGCTTCAATAGGATCAAATCCCAGAGCTCAGCATGAAGTTTGTCCGAGCACCCCATTCTTGATTAACTAAACATATATAATTTTAATGAAAGATGCTCCATATTAACTTGTTTGTATATATAGTATATATCAACCTCAATTTCAATTTTCAACCAAACCCTAACCCATCATCATGGAACACAAGATTAAGAGCCCTGCGATGAGAAAAGATACCAAAAACACCAAATACAAGACAAAACATGTTGTAAAAGGGCAACAATTATCAGGTTAAGAGACCAACAATTGTTCACTAATACTAATAGAAAATGACATGAAGGAGCCGAGCCTTTTTACACCAAAAAAAAAAACCTTATAATCAGCCCAAACCAAAGAAGAAGAAGAAGAAGATTGAATGACATAACCTCCTCAACTCAAGCCCTCCACCTCAGCTCGCAAAGCTTTCATCCCATCTAAGTCTTCAATCACTTGATCAATTTTCGTATTCTCCTCAAGACCACTTCTCATCCATGCAATACTGTTCAAATCCCTAGCAAGCAAAGCCAGCTCAGGGCTAAACATATCTGGTGTTTCATCATAATCCACAAACTCAGGCCCCAACAATGAAATTTTAGGGCCTTCACAGCAGCCATGGCCACACTGCAACCGCACAATCGGCTGAAACTTGAATATCTCAGTATTCTTCTGTTTAAAACTTGAAGAATTATTACAGACGGTAAATGCACCAACTTTGGAAATCATTGGAGAGTTGTCAGCTGAGGGATAAACATTTGGTTGCGTAACAGGAGAGCTTGAAGTAGTAGCTTCATATTTGCCTTCAAGTGGAATCATGGCAGTGTGTTGTGAATTTTCATTTTTCATTTTGTCAGAGGAGTTGAGGGGTAAGCTTGATGGGGTCTCGGACTTGACCAAGTTGATATTCGAGCCAAAGTAGGTTTGATCGGCTGTTGTTGACCTTCTTAAGTTGAGGAACCTGCGCCTAAGGGTAGAGTTCCAGTGGTTTTTTATTGCGTTGTCTGTTCTTCCTGGCAGGAGTTTTGCAATTGAAGCCCATTTGTTCCCGTGTACTTCATGTGCCTCAATAAGAATACGATCTTCCTCATCTGCAAATACAAACTCGGTAAAATTTCAGACAAGGAAGGAAGCTATAATAAACAATTCATCAGGCTCATTCTTGTTCCTTATACGTACATAGCTTTGAATAATAAACAATCAACAACCTATATTAGAAAGAGAGAGAGAGAGAGAGAGAGAGAGAGAGAGAGAGATGTAAAACAGCCTGGGAAAATTACTTCAAACAAGAACTAGAACACCCTCAAGCCCCATCATCTTTGAAAACTTGCACAGTTTAAACTCTAACCAACTACCAATGTGTAGTGTAATTGTAATTACTACAACAAAAACTCCAGGCAACTTCATGGATCATTATAACAGTTCTCAAGATAAATATCCTGAAATTTAACAAGAGCTTGGAAAAATAACCTAGAAGATGGAGAAAGTATGGAACAAGATCCATATGTAATGTGAAATGTACTACAGTAAGAACAGTAAAGTTCACACTAACACTGATGTAATCAGTACAGAAACAAAGGTTACATTAGGTACGGAGCTCAGATTAGCCATGAGTACAAAATCTTTTGCACTCAAAACTTCACAACGATATGCTGCAAATAGGGCAAAGAAAGAAAATGGACCTAATACAGGATCAAAACAACAGTCTTACTTGGACCTCATGATGATCCTCTCACTAAAGACACAATAAGGAAAATAATAAAATTATTTTTTTTCATTATCATAGTACGCTAAAAGTTAAAACTGAAGTATTCATCACATATGAACTGTCTATAGAATTGTATAGAATGAAATAATCGTAGGAGATTTAATAATAACTAAAAAGGAAAAAATGGCCAGAAATGATAACAACAGAATTCACTCTTTTAGTAACAAATAATTTTTCCATGAAACTAATAGTTTATTTCGAGGAAATTCTTTATATATATATTTATATATATACACACACACATATATATATATATTCAGAATTGGACATTAGTACTTGTTTCCAAATGAGTTCTTAGTGTTTTTGTGTGACTTTTATTTCGAGAGAACTATTATTGTTTGTTTGACTTTTAGCTTGGGCGGGATATCATTTCCCGATGAGAAGCTCATGTTTTTTATTTATTTTATTGAACATAAATATTTACCTCTTTACACTAACCCTTCACTCTTATCAAGTAGTATGGATATGACACGTGTGGACTCTAGGGATGAAAGCTTGGAGAATTAAACACACCTCACGCCATCACCAAACTTACAAACCTACTCACATAGTCTACTTCCAATAAATAAAATTGAGATCTTCCCATATAACATTACCTACACCTAATTCGCCAATTACAGCAGCCAGCTTGTTTCCTACAAATGGTGGCCAATATTTTCACGCCTCATCTCCTAGTTCCAGTTTTTCTTTCTGACCCAATCTGTTGTTCCAAAACGAATCATCATTATTTGCATCAAGAGTACCGAGATCCACGAGCAAAAGGGTTTTTTTTCAGTGTAAAAAAACCGTACATCCTGATGTATGTCTGCCACAACAAATCCCTTTCAGCCTTAACTGTCGCAGAGGACAAAATGGGATGTCAGCTTCATTTTGGACAGCTTAGTTCTACAAGCCTTGAGACAATGCTAGTTTAAAGGGGGTAGCATTGTCACATACCGATTGCTATATTCTCTAAAATAAATTTGTGGACTTCAGGCCCTAGAGCCTTAGCCCAATTAGGTTATATTAATGTTTAGGATAGTAACTTTTTTCAAGTGAGTCCATACTCTTATGTTTAGGAAACGAGAGAATTATTATTGTTCGTAGGCTTTTAGTTAGGGCGGGATATTATTTTCCATCAACCTCATTTACTTCAAGAACCTCAAGTTCTTTTCTGCACAATGATATTCAGTTTTTGACATTAACCCTTTACTCCTATCAGATTCTGCTACAAATATATATTATTGCGGATCCAAAGAAAATTATAGCATTAATCTATGAACCGAAAATGGAAGGCATAAGAAAGGCCATTCAAAGAATTAGCACATCGACGACTGAGTTCACCCTTAATAAAAAGTTGACAACTTGACATTCATGTTCAACTTGGAAATAAAGCCTGGATCTATGCACATAGCGTCATAACCACAAACCACAGACATACTTGGAATGATGGACCAAAGATAGCATGTTATAGGGCACACATTATAATGCTAAAAGTCATCAAGAAAAATTATGCAAAATAATTGGTAAAACCTTAAAAAACACGAGCACGGAAAAAGGCCAATGTAACACTAACAAAAAAGTTAAGACATTTGCGACAACTAAAAGGAAGTAGATTGATCCGATTGTTTGACTAACATACTTTGAATGTGAAGGAATTAATAAAACAGCATAACAGATCTAATAATCGACAAGAATGAAAAAAACCGAAAGCCTTAATGGAGGTACATTAAAATATGCGAAATGGTTGATCATGAAAGAAGTGTAGACTGAAACAATATACACAACAGTTTATCATTCAGAATATTTCAGTAGATAATACGTTCATCGATTCACACGTCAACTCTCTGAAACTGTTAATATAGCTGGCAACTTAGATTCTACAGAATATCCTAGTATTTCATAACAAGTTCAATGATCCAAGTGTCAACTTACTGAAGCTGTTATTTCAGTACTTTCATCAAAAGCCCACACAGAAACCTTAAATCCATTAAAAATAGGAAACACAAAAATGATTTCATGATTTGCAAACTGACATAAAATTTATTCAACACACTAACAATGGATCAAACTTGGCCCAGAACATATCATACACATATGACAATTATAAACTCGGAAAGATTGCAGAATTAGCCATGTGAAAGCTCCAAAGTAGTGTTTGATCAAGCTTCTTGTATGCCCACTCTGGGTAATTTAAAACAGTCGAGAATCAACAAAGGACCAGATAATGATTCAAATACAATACAAATGAAACAGTATTGTGATAACCATACCCAAAGGTAACAGACTACTACAGAAAACAGATTTGTATAATGTTACGTCCAAGTAAATGAGAGCAGTGCACATATCAGAATTTAAGTATTAAAAATAAATCAAATAAAAACACCTTCTCGAAACCCTGTTTCTGAAAAACAAGAATATAAAAAATAATAATAATGACCAAACAATAAAACAAAGAAATCAATCAGCTGCAGCACATTCCGAATATCTACACACACAACAATGGCATCATATCCTTTCAAATAACCAAAACCCACACAAAGCCTCTCCTTTATAAATCAAAATGGAAGGAAAATCAGATACCGGAGAANAAAACATTTCATGAAATCGCTACAAATATTACCCGTGAAGGGCTTTCGCTTGACGCAAGGGTCGAGCTGATTACACCACCGCAGGCGGCACGACTTCCCAGAACGGCCCGGAATTCCTCTGGCGATCAGACTCCAGTTTCTAGGACCAAATTTCCTCACCAGACCTGTTAGAATAGCGTCTTCGTCGGGTGACCAAGGCCCTCGAACCGTCCCTTTCATTCCACCGACGTAATCCGCCTCTTCCGCCGCGCCGTCTACCGCCATCGCGACCATCAGGGCCTCCTCGAAAGGCTCTCGACCTCTCCTCTCGTTTTCTTCATTATTCTGCACCGCCGCGTCCATCTTCAATTTATCGCAGCGAGTCCGCAGAAAAGAAAGTAGAGTCTTGTGTAAGTTTTAACTGCAAAAGGTGTGAAAAATCGTGCTTTTTATTTTGGAACGGTTTTTCCACGATAGTTTGTCAAAATGCCATCCATGTCCTCTCGGTAAATTGTTATAAAAAAAATAAAAATGTTCATATTATTTTATTTTTTTTTTCGAACGCTAGTCCCGAAAGGGTGGCTGACTCAACTAACTGGGGTAGGCAAACCTAAGTTTAGAGCCATCTCGATTCGGGATAAACCAAAGGCTAAAAACTGCCATTGAATCGGAACAATAGAATTTTATTTTATAGATAACCGGCTGTGTTTACCCATAAACTACATTTCATATGTGTTAATATTAGTCTAAATTCACTATATAAAAGTCTTATAATCTATGACTAACATAGACATTAAACAAATCCAGTAAACGATCATGTACATAACTTTAAGGTTGAAGTGTAAAGTCCAACAACAACTATCCAAGCTCATAATATTCACATGCCCCACATCTCAACAAGTTCTATATTTTTGATGCAGTAACAGTTTCACCACCATCCTGATTAGAGTCAGAGTTGTGGTTTGGTTGTAAGTTTATTGTTCACCATAAAGTGATTGATCCGATTTTTTATTAAACATAATCATACACTGAAAAGTTATACAACTATGATACTTTTATTAGATATTTCAATGAAAGTTTGGAATGACAATGAGTCTGATTTTGGTTATACTTCTGTGGTTTTTCCAATTACAGTGAATTTATCCATCTTCATATCCATTCCTAATTATTTTTGTTCAAGTGATTGTTTAGTTGTTGCTACTCTGTTTTGATGTGGTATGAGTCCCCTGGAGAATCTCTTGTGTTTTAGTGCTAGAACGTAATTAAGATGCTTGTGTAAAAGAATTTGAGATCAGACTATATAATTGGTGACTTTATTTTGTGATAATAATGCTTATGAAAGCACTAATTTTATGCTACCCTTAATGAACATTTATATCTTTTTAGTATTTTTTGTGATATGTAAGGTATATATTATTCATAGATAATTACCACTATGCATTGCAGATTTTTAGGATAAGACCTTAAGTTGAGTGTGTTAAAGAATTAGAAATCAAACTATAATTTGTGACTTGATTTTGTGGCAATAGGTTATGAAAGTTTTAGTTTTTATGCGGCTCTTCATGAATCTTATATCCTTTTTGTAGTTATTTGTGATGTATGTCTGCATTATGTATTGGGAGATAAAGATTATGGGGTGGAATAAGTCTGATATGTATGTTGTTTTGAATCAATGCGTGCTTTGTGAATTGTGATTCTTTCTCTTCTCATTAAGTATGCTCATGATATTATAAATAAGATCAGAAATCAGAAAATTGAGATTGTTATTTGATTAGACAACTGCACATTTGAACACTTAGACTGAATCTATCTATACATCTCGAGGCAGAATCCTTGAATATTGATTGTGTTTTGATGTGTGTGGCTGTGTGTGCATTTTTAAGAATAATTTGTTTTTACATATAACGTCTATTATGTGCATGTATTTTGTTCTCAAAACTAAACTCTAAGATTTATTTAGTTATTCTTTATGAAATTAGATACGGAATGCCAATGCCAAGTCTATAGTATGGCTTCTTATATGGAGTTCTATATACATTCTTTCAATGTTACAACAAAACTGAATACACTTCAATTTTTTTCCCTAATTAGCACGAAGGACAAGCAAAAGAGAAATATTGTCATTGGTAAAGTTTTCATTCTCGTCGGATGAAAAAACTAACAAGAGACTGAACAAACATTCTCAAATACTAAAGTTCAAAGAATACATTGTAGATCAAATGATTCCTTTAAAAACATATTAAAGCCAAATTAGTGAGACAAGTTGTACCAAAATCTCACATTTGCTTCTGTTCACTGTCCAGATATGATTTCTGCAGGTGAATGCAGTTGAGGCCTGAGGTTCTTCAGTTCCTGTAAAAAACATAAGACCAACTAACAAAGCCACTGCCAAATGAAATCCCATAAATTTTAAAGCAGTAAAATGGTTAGGTGATATTTAATATTTGAAGGCATATTTTCAAATCAAGGTGTCATACTCTAAAAAACATCATAAACAAAAGTGTATCATTTCATAACATAAGTACGCATTTCTGTTAGGAAAAAAGTTAAGTGGTCGACACCCTTAATGATCAAGCCGTCTCACACAAGAATTCATAAATTTAACAGAAAGTACAAACTCGATATTTGCTAGAATTTGATTTGTTTTCATAGAAAATTATACAGGACTAAATGAGTGGAATTTAGCAGAAGGAGAAAATACCGATGTTCGAAGAGTTCACAACATTGCTTTAAATTACCTATTTGTGGTGCTTTTACAAAATGCAGTAAAATAATAAGCTCTAATTACCATTTTTTTTTTCTTTTTTTTTTCGTCACCATAACAAAATGGTTCTTGAAGTATCAACTGAAATAAGTGAGCCCCAAAACAACATAGAAACATTAACAAGAAAAGGAAAAGTCATCTGCATCATACCCTTCACGCGAGGACTGAAGACTAAGAAAGCGAATCAGCAACACAACCACAAAAGCGAAACTCCTTATGACAATACAAAGCAACAGATGAGCAAAAACATCCCAGGAAAAATCGAACACAAATAACTGGAAAAACTAAATAATTTGTATCTTCCTTCTCCAACTGAAAAATACCATTAAATTTAAAGCCCTGCAAATCCGGAGGAACACAATCAAAATTACGACACCGTAACCCATTGGCAACACATTCGCCGCGCCGAAATGTAATCAGAAAAATACAATAAATGATTAGAACCGCAGTAAACACAGCCCATTCGAAGACAGGAAAGGAAAAGGAAGAAAATGAACGAAACAACACCACAAAGAATAGAAGAAAATGACAAGCGCACCCCCAGAAATTTGTTCTTTAAAAAAAGGCAAAAAGGCATGAAAAAAGAAGTAAGGAAATTGAAGCGGCAAAAGGAAAGCACACATTAAGCAACGTGTCGGCTTTCCAGACACCTTCTAGTTCCCTTATATATTAAGAAGGTGGATAAACACACAAATACAACTAGTCAACTAGAATAAGTCAAACATCTATCTAGCTGATCTAGCAGGAGACTACCCGACGACGGGAGCCTAGAGGCACTAATAAACGAACCCACTAAAATACACAGACTAAATAAACAAAAGCTCCAAAATGAGAGAATCTAGTAGCTCATACGAGAGGAGAACAAACTACAAAACAAGAAAAAAAAAATACACAACATAAACAACAACTACACAAGAGCAACACAACACTACAACAATTAAATATAATAACACCCTTTTCTACACCACGGCCCGACACCCAGTGACAATTGCCCACTCAGATAAGACTCCGACTCGAGCACTGTTCCATAAATTCCAGTGTAGCCACGGCTAGTTGGAACCGCAGTAGACAACCAAAATCTTCTCCTTGACGACTACCCCTAGAGTTGTAACCGGAGGTCGACCACCAACGCCCCTCCCACCCACTTAATCCTTCGGCCCGAACGATCAAGCACCCAGCCACCACTAACTCAAAATCCATCCACTAATTTCAGCTACCAACGGCTCACAGCTAAATTGCCGTCTAGCCCGAAACCAAGAAGTCGGGTAAAAGAGGGGAGAGAGAGCCAAACCTCAGTCCCGACCAGCTCCATGGAGGTTGGCCGGAGCCGGCTGAACGCCACCGGTCGAAGACCCGGCTACCTGAACCGCGACAGAGGCGTCTTGGGGTGTCGGCGAGATCTGCATCTGGTGGAGATCCGAGGGCCCAAGTGGGGCGACCAGCCCGGACAGCAGCGGACGGCCCCGGGCCGCGCGACAAGATATGTGAAAAGAAGGCGACAACGGTGGATTAAAACATTTATATTATCAAATAACACTATTTTTATTTATAGTGTGATCAAATGAGTCAACCTCTTAAAATTATGTGAAACCAAATCTCATCCATTGATTTCTACGGTCACAATTAACAATTTAAGTAGGATAAAATCAAAATCAATCTCCATATTCTTTGCATCAAGCGACGAAGAAAAAAGACTTGCAAACAAAATCTCGGCATATATTATGGGGTGGATCAAATGAGGACACCTCATAAAATGAGACTCAACATAGCCATTGATTATGTGGGGGATCAATGGCTCATATTAATCAATGAAATACACATTAATTATATAATAAAAATAATAATTATTATTAAAACTAATATTATATTAATATTAATTTTATAATAAATAAATTAATTATAAAACAAATATTTCGGCAGCCGGTCACCGGCGGCCGCGCGGCCGGCCAACGGCGTTGACCCGCGCCGGCAACCTTTGGTTTTGATGACCTCATCCCAGCGATCTCGGTGACCTCATTTTCCAGTGACCTCAGTCCGGTGACCTCATCCCAGCGATCCCGGCGACCCCAATTTCCAGTGACCCTGTTTTCCCGACAATCCCTTCAGCCGGTCAATGCGAGCCCCTGCAGCCAGATTTCATCGATGCGCTAGCCACCCGACCGCCGCCTCGTGGTCTACGTTGCCCGACCTAAGGCATTGGTCGCTTCCTAACCGGCTCGGTTACTGAGGTCGCGACTGAAGTTTTGCAGACCTTTCCCAAATCAATGGCAATATTTCGGTAAGCGTGCAAATAGGAGATCCGAGATCTGGTGCAAACTCTCGAACGGACCGAGAGGTTGACGCAATGAATTAGCAACAACGATGGCAACGGCTGGACGAATTTCTGAGACGTGACATCTCTGTCGGAGTTTACGACATGGAGGTTGCGAGCTGAGGATACGAGAAATCGTGAAATCGCCGGTCGCCGGTAGCGGCTCTCTTGTCGGATGAGGTTAATGATCGTGAAATAGCAGTCGGACAAGAGGACCTGCTGATGGGTTTACTTCTAGATCTGAAGAGAACCGATGGATTTGAGCTCAGATCTGCTTGAACCGCCTCTGAATCGTTGCTAGACCGCGAGAATACCTGCAAAAACTCAACGCTGGAGGTGTTTCCGACGTAGAGCCTCCGACGCTCAAGTCAATATGAG